GCCTGTCGGCCCTGGGCACAGGCTCCAGGCTGTGCTCACCTGGTCTCCGGACAGAGCCAGGGCCTCCGGGGCGCGGGCGGGTGGCAGGCGTCTGTCCTTCCCGAGCAGCAGGCGGAGAGATGAATAATTTAGGAAGACGCCCTTGTCCCGGGTCTCCCGTGGGGTGGCGGGGCCTGACCCTCCAGTCCTGTGGCCTTGGCGTCCGGAGAGTTGGAAACGTTGCGTCTTTACCTTTTGTCTTCTTGCTTGGGTGGGTTTTTAGTTTTTCTTCTTCTTTTTTCTTTGTTTTTTCTTTTCCTCCTGCGTGTGTGCGTCTGTGTGTTTTGTCTTTTCGGCCGGGCTGGGGGTCGGCGGGGGTGTTCTTGTTCACTCTAATTTTCCACCGAAAACGTGGGCCGGGGGCCAGCTGTGCGGCCCCCTGGGATTCCCGGGACGATGGAGAAGGGGCGAGGGAAGAAGACCTTTGCTATCCCAGATACCAGGACTGAGTGGCCCAGTGGCGACAGAGAGAGGGGGAGGGGGAGAGAGAGAAAGGGAGAGAAGTCAAGGGGTCAGACTCTGTTGCAGACATGTTTTACCTCTTCCCACGCTCCCCCCCTACCTCCTGCAACCCTGGGACCTCAGTTTCCCCATCCCAGGCTCTAACAACCTGCTGGGTGACCCAGGGCAAGTGACTTTGTCTCTGAGGAAGGCTGCCAGACACAGTACAGGATGCCCAGTAAAACCCGAGTTCTGGTTAACACAGAATTCTTTTAGTATAAGTCTAGCCCATGCAACATTGGGGATATACTTATACTTAAAAAGATCTGTTTATCTGGAACTGTATTTTATATTTTATTTATTTGTTTGTTTGTTTGTTTGTTTGTTTTTTGAGACGGAGTTTCACTCTTGTTGCCCAGGCTGGAGTGCAATGGAGTGATATTGGCTTACCACAACCTCAGCCTCCTGGGTTCAAGCATTTGTCCTGCCCCAGTCTCCCGAGTTGCTGGGATTACAGGCGTCCACCACCATGCCCGGATAATTTTTGTATTTTTAGTAGAGATGGAGTTTCACCATGTTGGCCAGACTGGTCTCAAACTCCTGACCTCAAGTGATCCACCCACCTTGGCCTCCCAAAGTGCTGGAATTACAGGTATGAGCCCGCGCTCCCAGCCTGGAACTCAATCTTATTTTATTTTATTATTTTATTATTTATTTATTTATTTATTGAGACGGAGTCTTGCTCTCTTGCCAGGCTGGAGTGCAGTGGCATGATCTCGGCTCACTGCAACCTCTGCCTCCCAGGTTCCAGCAATTCTCCTGCCTCAGCCTCCCGAGTAGCTGGGATTACAGGCGTGTGCCACCATACTCAGCTGATTTTTGTATTTTTAGTA